CTGAAAATGAAGAATTAGGCAGGTATGATATGTCTGGATCGAATGGTGCCGCGGATTGCTGCTGCTGGAGTTTTTATATGTCAATTCTTTGTTGAGAGAATCCTTACTGCCTCCTGTCAGCATGGCTGCTGCTAACCACCAGGAAAGAGACTCGTTACGCCTTTTCGGACTAACAATCTCGTGGAACATGGAATGGAAAGAATATCTTCAATCAATTATGTTGTGGCCTTGTGTCAGAAATAAAGACACAATAGGTGAATTGAGTTAAACAAATATATTAACAGAAACAGTAATACAAACATATACAAACGAGAGTGTTACAGCAAGAATGTTCGGTACGACTCTCAGAGCTGACTGCTGGAAACTTCCCTCTACAAAAGACAGTACCTGCTCCTATTTATAGCCGGGAGAGTCCATGCGTGCGTGGGTAAATTACCATAACACTCCACCTCCTAAGTATTAACTCTGCAGAAGTCTCAATTCATTTTTTGGATGTGCGTGTGATATTAGAGCCTTACGGCCATATCACGTAAAAACACTACTCGCTATACGATCACAGAATTTAAGCAACGCGTGCGTGGGTAAATTACCATAACAAATTACTAGTGCTGTTGCTAAGAAAGTTGGTTCACTTGTCATGCTAGACAATTTTTCTCTTCAGAATCTATCTGATATATCTATAAGTCTACCATTCGTCCATGCTTAGAATATTGCTGCCACATATGATCCGGTGTTCCTGCTGTGTATTTCAAAGAATAAGCAATATTATTGGTGCTGACCCGGTATCTCGGCTTCAGTCACTTTCCCACTGAAATAAATTTGCTTCACTCTGCCATTTCTATTAATACTTTCATGATAATTGTCAGGATGAACTCTCCGCCATGGTACAATGAATTGTAAATATGGGGACTAGTTAGTATTTTTATAGAGACAAAGAGGTATTATGGTGATTGTAGTAAGGAAGGTACGTATGAATGTGTTATTTTGGTGTAAGGAATATTGTTTGTGCGATTGGGTCAGCGTTTGTGGCTAGCTAAGTTATAGTTAAGAAAACCGTCCTTTCCCCAATCACCCCCTTCTGCCACATTTCTGTTTTAAACAGAATAAATATCACTGTTTTTCCCATGACACCGCTATTGTTTTAACTACCTTTACTCCCTCGGCAATGTTTATTGTTTTACAAAGCGATTATTAGAATTGGAATAAAGCCTAAACATATGATGAAAGTGAATTTATGCATTATTTTTTGGTTCGTGAGAATTTACAACACAAATATTAAATTCTATTTATTTTTTAATCTAATGGGATTAGAAAATGGGATTTTTATATGTTGGTTTAGTTTGGTTTGTTTTACGACATATCAACCTCAAACTGGAGTAGACTGTTCTAGTTGTACGCTAGGACACATGGCACAGTAGATAAAGGCGTTGGTTAAATCCAGTGACAGAACCCAAAGAGTGTGAGTTCAATACCCGGTTAAGGCAGTGGAGAACTTTCAGAGGGAAATTAACAGGAGATAACTGATAACTGACATCCATCAAACATGGCACGTGGAACTAGAACAGTCTACCCCAGTGAGCGAAATAAAGGGTTCAGTTCGAAATTCCAACCACCTGAAGAAGGCCGGAGCGTACAACAGCCGAAACGTTGTGATAAATATGGCGACAAAGAATAGGACAATAGTCCGAATAATGTAAATAATGTACGTAATACCTCATCTCAGAAATGTAGACAAACCTCAATAGGCTATTTAATTCCGACAAAATTTTTATTGCTGTTAATATTTTTTTCTCTTAAAAATGTATTGCTGGTAATATTTTTTTTAATGTATTGCTGGTAATAATGTATTTCAGGTAATAATTTTTTCTTTCAAAAATTTTTTGCTGGTAATAGGTTTTTACAAAGTATTACACTTTCATAGTATTTTGACCCTAGTTTGGTGGTTAACTATTTGCTCACAAGTGGGACCCTAACAGGTGCTACCACTCCGGGTCACGGTGGGCCTGGGAACACCAGCAATTAAGAGGTGATTCCACGCTCCTTAAAACCTCCTGATCAGAGGCCTTGCTGCTGGACGTAGTTTATCGTCTTACCCAGGACGTGGATGTAGTTTATCGTCTTATCCAGGACGGGGGGGGGTAGTTCATCGTCACGTCAGGGTGGACATGGGAACACCAGCATTTAAGAGGTGGTCCACGCTCATCAAAACCTCCTGATCAGAGGCCTTGGTGTTGGACATAGTTTATCGTCATACCCAGGACGCGGGTGTAGTTCATCGTCTTACCCAGAACGCGGATGTAGTTCATCGCCATACCCAGGACACGGATGTAGTTTATCGTCTTACCAAGGACGCGGATGTAGTTTCGTCATACCCAAAACGCGGATGTAGTTTATCGTCTTACCCAGGACGCGGATGTAGTTATCGTCTTACCCAGGACGCGGATGTAGTTATCGTCTTACGCAGGACGCGGATGTAGTTCATCGTCTTACGCAGGATGCGGATGTAGTTCATCGTCATACCCAGGACGCGGATGTAGTTCATCGTCATACCCAGGACGAGGATGTAGTTTATCGTCTTACCCAGGACGCGGATGTAGTTTATCGTCTTTCCCAGGACGCGGATGTAGTTCATCGTCTTACGCAGGATGCGGACGTAGTTTATCGTCTTACCCAGAACGCGGACGTAGTTCATCCTCTTACCCAGGACGCGGATGTAGTTTATCGTCATATCCAAGACGGTGTATATGTTGGTCATAGGAGAAACAAAGTATAGCATAAATAGTCGGGAATAAGTTAAGTACTGGTCACGTGTCATAGGACAATACTCTACAGCAATAAGATATTTTATTTACAAGAATTATTTTATATTTACATTTTAAAAACTAATACAATTAAAATTAATGCAATGAAGTTTTTTATCATTTACCAATTTGTAAAGAAATAAATAATTTTTTATTCATAAATTTATAAACATTTACTAAATTAAGTCAACCAATTATTTGGGGCACCCAATGAGGACTGAAGTCACTGCTCAGTCTTAATTGAACTAGCGAGACGCGTTTGTTAACCTTTACCTCATAGTGCCCAAGGTCGCTTTCTAAGCATAGCTTCGATGTGGCACAAGGCCAAAAGTGTGGAGCAAAGTGTTGAGAAGCAAACTCACTATTCAGTTTTAATTGCTCAAGGGATGTAAACTTGTTAACCGTTACATCACGTTGAGGTTAGCAAATAATCTTCTAAGCGAAGCACAATTACGAATGAGTAGTGAATTCGATCCGCACTAGGTGGCTCATACTTTCGGTGTTGTACCTTATCTAAGATACGGTTAGAAAATTTGGATACCTCAGGATAGTGTAATGGTTAACAGGTTTGTCTCGCTATAACAATTACAAATGTGCAATGAGTTTGATTCGCACTGGGTGTTCCATACTTCCGGTTTTGTGCACATAGAAATACATGCATTGATAACGATTTGCTGATGAATACATTTCATATGATAATAAAAACGATATAATAATTATTAGTAGTAAGGTTTTAAAACCAAATTAAAATGTTTTTTTGTATTAAAAGGATGAACTATAAAGAAAAGAAAAACAATGTCTTTTTCCAATTTTTTTTTTTTTTTTTTTTTTTGGCGGCCATGTTAATGACTTGGAATTCAAACGAACACTAGTGTTTAAGTAAGCCGGCTTCTGGCAAAAGTACAAAGAATTTACTTTTTGTGGGTCTTAGAAAATGTGATGTGCCGCTTTGATTAGATTCCAATTTCTCTTAATAAGCTAATAGTCCGTGCCAGATTTGTAGATAAAAATAACAACTTAGTCCCTCATGACTATCACCAAAATCCGTGTTTTTCGCTCAGCCATATTCTGAAGAGGGTTAGGGTATTAGGGTTGATATTCACACAAATGATTAAACGGAATAACAACAGCTTCCCCGTCATTAAAGTCCATATATATATATATGCGCATTTCATTGAAAACGATAGACAAGAAGCTTTTATTTAGTTTTTTATACAATTTCTCATTTTCTTTTCGGATGATGAATTATATAAAAACTGTCCGAATGATCTTTTCTTTTCGGATGATGAATTATATAAAAACTGTCCGAATGATCTTTTTATCCGAGCGCTTTCGGCTATCTATCAGGTCATCCGATAAGTTCTGTCCGAATTTTAACTTTTTGTTAAAATGAACGAAATTTAAAGAGTATTTTATAATGTCTAATGGAGCTGAACATTATTTTTATGTTTAGATGCATTTAAACTGATTAAATTTTATTTCAGAGAACAATAAAATTAAATTTTGTTTGATTAAAACCCTGCTAACATGGAAGTACCCAAGAATCATTTGAGGCACATAATGCTTTATGAGTTCAAGAAAGGAAACTCAGCAGCCGAAGCGGCTAGAAACATTCACTCAGTTTATGAAGAGGAATGTGTGAATGAAAGAACTTGCAGAAGATGGTTAGCAAAATTCAGAGGTGGAGATTTCACCCTTGAAGATGAATATTGAACCGGACGTCTAGTTGAGTTTAATGAAAAGCTTTTTGAAGCAGCCTTTAAAGAAAACCCTGCTTTATCAGTCGAGGAATTGGCAGTGGTTCTCAGTTCAAACCATACAACTGTTCATCGTCATCTTCAACAACTTGGAAAAGTTCTAAAACTTGGAAAATTGGTGCCTCATGAATTGTCTGAAAACAACCTCAAATCCCGAGTTGACATCTGCTCTTCTCTCTATTCTCGCCAACTTGTTTCACCTTTTTTGGATAGATTTGTGACTGGCGACGAAAAATGGATCTTTTATCGAAATGTTAAGCGTCGTAGACAGTGGTTTGGTAAAGGGGAAGGACCCCAGCCACAGCCGAGAAGAGAACTTCATGGGAAAAAGGTTCTTCTTTTAATCTGGTGGGATCGCCAAGGAATAATCCACTTTGAATTCTTAACACCTAATGCAACAATTAATGCTCAAATATACTTTCAGCAATTTGAGCGTTTGAAC